AGCAGAAGGACGATAGTACCAGATGGAAATGTGGGTCTACACAAAGAAATAAAGAACACCAGGAATAGTAAAAATGAGGGTAAATAGACAAGACAGTTTTTTTCTTAGTTTTAATTGCTTTAAAAGATAACTGAATATGTACAGCAAAAATAACAAAAATATATTGTGGGATTTATAACGTATGAAGAAGTAAAATGTACAACAGTAGCACAAAGGATGTGGGAGGAAGTAAATGAAAGCACACTCTTATAAAGTTCTTACACTATATGTGAAGTATAATATTATTTGAAGGTAGACTGTGATAAGTTAAAGATGTATACTGTAAACCTTAAAGTAGTGCTGACCAATAGACCTTCTGCAATGATAAAAATGTTTGCTATCCAGTAAGTTAGCCAATAGCCACATGTAAACATTTAATTTTATTTAATTTAAATATTCACACGTGGCTAGAGTCTACCATATGGTAAAGGGCAACTTTAGACCAACCACCAAAAATTTTTAAGAGATGCAATAAATAAGCCAATAATAGAGATAAAATGGAATCATAAAATATTCAGTACAAAAAAAGGCAAAAGAAGAAAGAAAAAAACGGGACGAAAACAACTAGCAAAATGGTAGATATGAATCAAACCATATTGGTAATTACATTAATTGTAAATGGTTGTTTAGACCATTTAATGGTTGTTTAGACCAGTTAAAAGGCAGAGACTGTCATATTGGATCTAATAGTATAAGGTTAAGGTGATAAATTAGTCAGTCTAGGTGTTCCAGGAAGAAAATGGTCAACTGGTCACATAAATTAGGTCTTAGAAACACTGTCGTTTAGTCTGGCAATTAGGAGGATGGAAGTGGCCCTAGCTAGGGCACTCTCGCCAGCCTTGCTTTCTCTTTATTTTCCCATTAACTCTTTATCTATCCTTTTCTGTTACTTCCCTGCTTAAATATTGGGGATTACAAACTAAACCTCTATCTTTCTAAACAGTATACTAAAAGTTATGAGAATGAGACAAATATGTACAGGTTGCCATGGGAGCATAAAAAATGACACCTAACCTTTCCTGGGGAATGGCAGGGAAAGCTTTAGTCTTCTCTTAGATGAAGGGACGCTTAAGCTAAAACTTTTAAAATATTTTTTAAAAATCAAGCAAACAAATGGAATGGCATTGTGTTTTTGAGAAATACAAATAGCTTAGGCTTTTTGGGATATGACGTGGAAGGAAGAAAGTAATATGAGACCGATAGAGTAAGCAGGGCCAGCCTTGGAAGGCCTTCTATTCCACATTAATGTGTCAAGGGAATAAATGATGGGTCCTAAATTAGATTAATGGCTATAGAATAGGGAGTGGCATGGGGCAGATTTCACAGATGTTTAGTAGGAAAATTCAACAGACAACTAATTGAATATGGGAAATGGAGGAGAGGAAAGGGAGACATGAGAATGACTCCCAGATCTCCTCCATGGCTGACTGAAACAAGGAACACAGGAGGAAACAGTTTGGTGGGGAAGGTAATGAGATCAGTTTTACACATTGTGTTTAATAAGTGTATGTGTTTTTATTTTTTATTACTGATTTATTTTAATGAATACTCTACCTTGTTCCTTTTAACCTGACTTCCAGAAGCGAGATTAATAAATGATGAATTTATGTACATACCAAAAGTGGGTCAATATAAATTTGATTTATTAGTTTAGACTTGGGACTCTTTATTGTGCTTTAACTCAAGGAATCTGAGAGAGACAGACAGAGAGAACTATATATAAGTTTGCATTCAATTAGACTTACAGAAGCAATAATACTGTTACAGAACTTTCCTCAGGTATGACAGCCCAGAACCTTTTTCGCTTCCCCTTCTACCACCCAACACTTAAAGCTAGGTATTCCAGAACTGCATCCAATCTTTGTTACAATACCCAATCTCTGTCAGCATGCCATCTCAGAGACTCCCATGATGATTCTCAGATCTCCACTTCCAGTGCAGACCTCTCTCCTGAGCTCCCAAACATACATCCAGCTGCCTCAAGGACACATGCACATGACACCCGTCAATTTCTCAAACTCATTATCTCCTTCCACTCACGCTACCCCCATACCCATACAGAATCTGCTCTTCTCAAATCCCTGCCTTGATGAATAGCAAACAGTCTCTGGTCACTCAAGCCAGACCTGTCCAAGTGCCATTCATGACTCCTTTCTCTCCGCCACACCCTCCATATACTCCCATCTTTAACTAGTCATGTACATTCTACCTCCTTAACATCTTTCACAATGGTTGCATTGTCTCCATTCCCACTGCTACTATTTTAGTTCAGGCCCCCATTATACCTCTTGACTATATTACTACAAGAGTCACTTAACTAGTGTCCCACCCCCAAGATGACCCTCAGGCCACTCCAACCTTCTCATTGCCATCTGAGTGCTCTTTTTCAAAGGCAAATCTTATCCATGTCACTACAGCCAGGACAAAATACCAGCACTTACATTTTCCCAAGAATCAATGCTGTTTCAGGTCACTTACAGCATGTACTTGTTGTTGAGTTGCCATAGAGTTGATCCTGACTCATGAGGACCCCATATATGCAGAGTAGAACTGCTCCATAGGTTTTTCAAGGCTGTGACCCTTCAGAAACAGATCACTAGGCCTGTCTTCCAAGGTGTCTCTTGGGTGAGTTTAAATCACCAACATTTCGGTTAGTAGTTGAGCACATTACCACTTGCAACACCCAGGGTCTACCTGTTAGTTTACCTGGGGAGTTCCTACTCATCTTTTAAGACTCTGCTCAAGTGAATTTGTCTCTGGGAAGGCTCCCCTGATCATTAAAGCTGACTTGTCCAGTGCCTCATCGTGCCACTACTACATTAAATATATGTCTCTATTACTCTATCACATATCATAACCTTTGTTTAGTTTGCCTTCCATACTTGACTGTGAGTTCTATGTGGGATATATGTTATTTCTAAATCACTAGAATCTGGCACAGGTACTAATGTTGGTTTAACTGAAGAAAGGGATAGTCAACAGTGTCAAAACTGCAGTAGCGTCATATAGAATGACATAGAGATGTTTTGACACTTTGGAGACCGCAAGATATCTCAGTGGGAACATTTCAGTGGCCTGAAGGAGTCATTGAGTACATTAAGAAGCAAACAGTAAGAAAATGGATAAGTCTTATACTGAAGGGTAAGAGAGTAATGGGATAGTTTAAGAGGAGAAGCAGGGTTAAAGGAAGGGCTTGCTTTATTTTTTAGGCTAGATAGGTTAGGAATAAAAAGCAAATTATGAGAGAGAAGCTGGAAATATGAGAGGAAATAAGTGATAGAGCAAGGACCAGGAAAAGATTATATAAAATGGGATAAAGAGTCCAAGAGACAGATTAGAATTAGAAATTATTAGGGAGGAAGGGACAGAAAAGACTGAAGGTACCATTTTTTAGTTGGAGTGGAGAAAAGCTGAAGGAGTTCATGATTTATAATTGTTTTTATAAAGGTAGGGTTGCTAGTTTAAGGAGAATGGTAAACGGCTGAAATAGCTGTTGCTGAGCTTGGAGCAAAGAATCCAGCTAGGAGTGAATAAAAGGGCTGTAGAGGTGCAGTGGGCACGCTCACTGTGGGTAGAGCCCTTCACCCCAAGACATTTCTTCCAACTCTATCTACACTTCTGATATAATAATTTGTAATTTTAACGCATCACTGTATAACGTTCCAATTGCTAATCATTTTCAGCTCAATCTCTTGGATATCTAAAGCCAATGTATTAGTTTTCTGATAATCACAGTCATTGGATGGCAAAATGCATTTTGGGACATTTGAAGGCAGGGGTCAGCAATGGCTCTGACCAGACTTTATCTCTAGGTAATATCAGTTATAAAGACTGGGTTCCTGTGAACCATAGTCCTAAGGAAATACGTTAGCATGAAGGAGGAAACATCTAGAACAACTCATTTATGACCATAATCCCACACTCAGATGAACCCTCAGGCTTTTATATATACACTTCAGCCAGGGGCCAGCAGTATTAATTGTTTGATAATCACCTCTTCATTGTTTATTCCCATCCTACAAATGGATATTCTAGATGTCAAAAGTAATAATTTATCCCTGAAATCTAACCGCAAGGTTGGTGGTTCGAGTCCACCTAGAGTCACCTCAGAAGAAAGGTCTGAATCTACTTCCGAAAAATCAGCCACTGAAAACCCCATGGTGCACAGTTCTACTCTAGCACACATGGGGTCACCATGAGTCAGAGTCGACTCAACGGCAGCTGGTTTGATTTTTAAATCTATATTAATTTTTAAAATTGTACACACCCATGCCAAACATTAAATTTTCATGATATTATGGCAATGTGTCATCCTCAGAGGAGACGCGTGAAGCATACGGTCCCATGTATAACAACAACTAAATCTGCACTAGATATCCTGGTTAGAAACTGACTGCATGAAACACACCTGCCAAAAGCACATTTAAAATATCTTATACTTAGAAAAAAATCTAGTTGACATGATAATTATCCTTCTTCCACATTATCCACATTATATTCCTATTAAAGCTAATAATCAGAAGGCAAAGAACCTGGCCCTATTTCAGTCCCTGCAGAAATGCCTTCCTGGGTTACGATTTGGTGAAAATTGAGTAAATTTTTAAGTGAGCTTAGTTCCAGGAAAGTTTATCCTGTAAATACATTACACTCTTTTATAATAAGATGATAATTATGTAACCCAAATATTTTCTTTTTGTTGATACTTCTGGGAAACTCCTTTCCTAATTACAGAGATAGTTATCTGTCTGGCAATATTTATACAATTTCCTCCTATATTTAGACAAATCCGATGGGTCCGATCAGCTGGGTATCTCCCTGCTAAAAGCAAATGAAACACCGGAGCCCCAAATACTATAAATTATCTTGGTTTCTAGTATGAATTTCATATTTTAAATCATTTTCCAACCCCTTTATCCTTTCTAATAAGACTACTAAGCGAACAGATGAGTATCAAGTCATACAGGGGCATCCTGATCCATCAAGTAAGCACCGTGGCCTTGACTGATGGCTTCTTGGTATTCTTGATGGGCTTCTTCCTTCTCTTTAACCTGGAAAGAATGATTTTTACATCCACATCATAATGTGATTGGTGACTTCAGATTTTAATTAGGAAAACTTAATTATGTTTACTAAAACCTAGGCAAAAACAGAAAACTAAGAGCCCATCTAAGATGAATGGAAGCTTATGTAAAGTGATCATCAAAATGTACTTATTATCTGGTAAGAATCTGAACCAAAAAGGGCAACTAAAGAAAAATCTCTTTAAATTGGGAACAAAATATTTCAGAGTCAATAGTTGCGGGGGTGGGGGGGACAGCTTGACTGGAACTTTATTTTGAACAAAAAATAACAAATTAAGTTTATTTTATCTTAAATTTAACAAAATTTGGGTTGTAATTGCAATTGTACGCTAATGCTTAGAATAAACAAAGAATGAATCAACTTATTTCTTTTGGCACAATTTTTATAAATTCATTTCAGTTTGACTTTTATAGCAGGGTGTGGAGGATCAGTTTTTACAAAAATATATAAGAGCTTCACCAGTTATCCAATGTGCCTCTCTTAAACTTTTGATATTAAGTCACTCTTCTCTGAAGTGCTGGGGCATAGAATTTGCCAGACACTGACCAACAAAGCCTGGACAAACAGGAATTTAGAAACCAATAATCAGGGAGGATTCTTGAGTGGAAACTAATTGTATAAGTACAAGAATATTTTTGCTTTATGACAAGGTCGCTACTCAACCTCATAGCTGTGGGGACTCAGATAATGAAGATTTAGGTAGAAGGGAAACCAAAGTAAAGTCACAACGCATTTTCTCCCCTTACCTCTCCTACTATATGCTTCCCGTTGATGAAAGCTTCAAAACCGCACACAGCAGCCTTATCATCCAGAGGAAAGATATATTTTGCCTCAATGGGCACATGACTTTGATTTGTGTATGTCTGAAAAACGATGACCTGAAGAAGAAAAGTCCATATACTTGTTGCTATAATTACTAATGAAAACTCTTAATGCATATTTGTTTTAAATTCCTTGGATTTTTATCATGTCCCTCAAATTCCCAACTGAGGCTTCAGGAGTTACAGGAGATGCCACTGCAATGCAGAGTCTATGTCACATGAGAAAATGCACCAGCCCCATGTTTAGGCAGTTCATACATGCCTGAAAGAAGATGAGTCACTTGATAGCAGTGCAACTTAGTTAGCAGAAGCAATGTAGCTACTGTCAAGCCGGCCAGGAAAAAAGTCCCTTCTTTAAGCTTCCTTACAGCACATGGGCCCGGTACTATTCCAGAATAGTGCTTATATTCAATCTATGATGTCTTGGTACTCCTCCTTGGAGATGTCTCTTTGGTTTTACCCCTTTCTACCCAGCTGCTTTTCTAGTCTAAGTCCTCATCTCTTCCTGCCTAGATGCCTCCTAAATCAAGCCTTTTCCATTCTACTCTATCTTGCTATTTAAATGCTATCATATTAATCTTTGTAAAAGGACAGTTTTCATCACATTACTCGCTTATCAAGAAAAAGCAGTAGTTTTTTAATATTTAAAATTTTTTTTAAACTTAGAGATGTAATAAACAGTAAAATAAACAATGGCATTAATAAGGTAAAATATTTAACAATTTGTAACCAATAATCCCCGAGACTAAAATGAAAAAAAAAAAAAAGTTAGCCTATTCTAAAATGCTATCTACAACTGGATTTACTAAAAGTTAGGGTATATAGTTTGGTTTGGTTTAGGGCATATAGAGCACCAGCCAAATATGTTTTGAGGGTCCCCTCCCTATATAAACAATTTGAATCACTCCAAGTCAGTAGGTCAGCACCCTTCTGGAGACCCAATCTCTTGCAATCCTGCAAACAAATGCCTCAGTGGCCAGTGGAAGAGTTCTGCTTGCCAGACCACTCCCCTGGAACAATCCCACAGGCACAAGTCCCGGAGTTTCTGAGGTGCCTACACAGCCCCCTGTGAGTCCGAAAGGGGAGAAACCAGGACTGGAACTGGCACAGGGCTCTGTTCGCCCTGATCTAAGGGCTGCTGACTCGAAGGATATCACGCTCACCCTTTGGTTGCACAGAAAACTCCTTCAGTTTCTTTCCTGGATGCCCACAGTTCTACCAAACCCCTCAGACACACTTCTCCTTGGCTTGTATTTGATGAGTATGATCAACATCTAATCATACCTTGGTTTAGTGTCTTCATCCTACTCTGCAGATATCCTACCTGCCTCTGGTTAACAAGTTTGTCTTGTGGGTTTCAGCCTATGTCAGCTTGATTCTCTTTGTATATCATGTTGTATAATTGCGCACTCAAAAAATTAGTAATTTTAGATAATGATGATAGATGTATTTTTACCAGGATTTAGAACACAAACTAATACACTATAAAAATTTTTGACATTTAATATTTTTCCTTTAGAAGAAACCATTACATAAATAATAAGCTAAAAACATTAAACTCATTCCAAGATGAGTTAAAACATATGAGCTAAGCACGTAGAGGTGCCCATTGTTCAGCCTCTGCTCAAATATGCAAGGTTAATCTACAGGTCAGCTGTCCAATCATAAATCAATAAAAAAATCTCTGCTGAATGAGTTATAGTGGACAAAACTTCCCCATGAAGGAGGCCATCTCATTGAAATTTCAAATGGAGCAAGTTGTAAAATACAAAGGACATATGCCTCTTGTAACATAATCATAATTTGTTTTGCATCTCCTATATGCCAAAAAATGTACTAGGTGCTTTACATTCATGATATATAATAGCCATACGAATGGGTAGATATTATTATTCCCATTTTACACATCAGGAAACTGAGGCACAAAGAGGTTAAGTAACTTCTCCAAGGTCAAAACGCTAGAAAAGAATGAAGCAAGGATTCTAAGCTATCTTCTTTCTGACTCCAAACCCCCATACTTTGTACCACCTATACCAGGTTGCAGAATTGACTCGATGGCAACCAGTTTTACACCATGTTGCACTACAGCAGTGGTTAGGAACCTGAACTCTAGAAACAGAATGACTTGAGGTCAAAAGTGTGCTCTATCATATCGTTTAATGTCACTGAGCATCAGTTTATGGGCATAATAAAAACAGCATTTAACTCATAGAGTAACTCCACGTGAAAAACTCAATCCAGAGCTTGAATTATAGGAGGTGGTAATTATTGTTGTTACAGCTCCTAAATGCTTCCAAAGGCATAAAACGTTGACCACCAGCCCACATGTGGGTTTTCCCATTTTACTATATGACATTCCCCTGAGCTACTTCAGGGGTGTGGGTATGGGTCAGAGCAGACCGGACAGTGGTGGTCAGATATTTCCAAACTGTTATAAACATCATATATAACATGCTCTTCCCTACTCCACCTTATCCTCATTTCCCCAGTTTAAGGTGATCACTAAAATTAACATTATTTCCCTCTGAAGTTACCAGAGTCATGATTTTCTTATTTTCCTGAGATATTTTTATGGTTGTTTAACATAATCTTCAGTGTTAGGAGGCAATGATGAGTTAAATATTAGAACTCAATTTTAGAAAACTGAGAACTTTTCAAGCTCTACCACCACATGTACCCACCTACCTGCATGTGCACCCATAAGCTCTACCTTCTGTCCCATGATGGTTGATGAACTAACTGTGAGCTCCTACCCAAGTCCAGCCACTGTATCTGAGCACTGGATCTCATCCTCTAGCCTACAAAAGGACGGAGCTCCAGCAATTCGCGTCTCTCCTAGGTCATCAGTTTTCCTCGCCTGTAATGGATCACTCTCACTGGCACATACACATGCTATTATTTCTTCCAGCTCAAAAGAAAAAAAGAAAGCACTCTTTACCTCACTTTCCTTTCTGCTACTGTCCCATATTCTCTCCTGTGTCTCCAAATTCTTTCCTCCCATCCTCCCTTGAACTCACCTTAATTAGGTTTTTGCCTCTGCCACTCAACCAAAAAGGTGTTTGTCAAGGTCATCAATGATCTCCTCATTGCTAAATTCAGTGGTAATTCTCAGTCTTTACTTTACTTGATCTAGCAGCAATATTTGAAACAGTTGATCATTCTCTCCTCCTTGACTGATTTCCCAGAGCACCTGGATGCTCCCTCTCAGACTCCTTTACTGATTCCATCTCATGCCCCAGATCTTTAAGTGCTGGATATCTCTTCTCTCTCTCTACTGTCTCTTGTTCTAATCTGGTCTCATGACTTTAACTAAAACATCTAAATGCTGATGACTCCCTAATTCGTATCTACAGCCTGAATCTCTTCCCTGAACTCTAGACCCATGTCTATACTACCTGACATTTCCATGTGGATATCTAAGAGGCATCTTACATCAATATGGCCAAAAATGAACTCCAGATAGTCTCCTCAACCTGCCCTCCTACTGTCTCTCTCATTTCAGTAAGTAGAAGCACAATCCTTCTAGTTGCTTAGGCCAAAACCCTTAGAGTCATCTTGACTCCTATCTTTCTCTCCTATCACACATCCATCAACAAATCTCATTGGTTCTACCTTCAATCCACAGCCAGAATCCAATTACTTCTTACCACCTCCACTGCTATCATTTTGGTCCAAGTCACCACTCTCCTTGACTGAATCACTTTAGTAATCTCCCATATTTGATGCTGCTAAGAGTGTTGCCTGATGAGTCCCCTCCCCTCCCACAGTAACTGTCCTTGCCAAAGAAGAACTGCCTCACCCAAAATTATGATCCCTCAACAGGGGCAGTGCACATCTAATGACTAGTCTATGTGACTAGTCTCTCTGACAGATCCTACCCCCACCCCATTCCCTTGCAGGTGTTGTTCCTAAGAGCAAATTTCCATCTAGAGTCTTCTTTCCAGAGAAATTGACCTAAGATGTCTCCCAACTGATCCTCTTCAGACTGTTCTCAACATGGCAACCAGAGCAATCCCATTACAGCATAGATCCAATCAGATGACTCAACTTTGCCAAAAATCTTCTAAAGGCTTCAATTTCACCCAGAGGTAAGCTTAAGTCCTATATCCTTACATAATCCTTCCTCCCCCCTTTCCTCTCTGAACCAATTTCTCCAACTCTCCCCCTTCTCACTCAGCTCCAGCCACAGTAGACTGCTTAATGTCGTTTGACGACATCGGGTTCACTCTCACCTCAGGACCTTTGCATGTGCTGCTTTCTCTAACTAGAATGAGTGTTGGCCTGATATTCACGTGCCCTACCTCCTTCAGATCTATACTCAGATGTCCCCTTCTCAGTAAGGTCTTACTTGGCCATTCTATTTAAAAGTTCAGTGCCCCTCCCTCTTGTATAGTCCCCATCCTCTTGCTGATTTGTTTTCTCCTTAGCACCTATCACCATTTACCACATTTTTACAGTGAAACCTGTGAGAGCTGGAATTCAACAGGACTAACTTGTTTTTCCAGGTCTCATAAGTTTCCCACCTTTGACAGCATGCAGTCTTATCACTTTTCTATTGCTCGTTTTAGTGGAAAATATTTGGGCTTTCCCTCTCTGACAGGTTTCCACTTTACACAGTTATGGTTTTTGCAGGTTTTTCAGTATATTTTTTACTATTTATCATGTTTACTTCCTATTCTATGAAAGCAGGTTCCATAAGGGCAGAGTTTTTGTCCTGTTCACTGACATATGCCCAGAGTCTAGAACAATGTCTGGCACATAGTAGGTGTTCAATGAACATTCGTACATAAATTTTAGAAAAGTACATACTTTGTTTAGTTCATACAACAGCAATCAAATTTTCATCTATGATTAATGTCCATTTAGTTTAAATACCATAAAACCACAAACAGCATACCTGGGCTACAACATCTATTACTCTCCCCTTGATGTGAACATCCTCAAGAGGAACTAAATTCCCAGAGGTATCCTGAAGACCGGCTTTGATATTGCTGAAAGGTTTGGTATCTGGTAACTGGTAATCTATATATTAAAAACATTAATGTTAGTTTTTATAACCATCCCTGCATGGTCTATTTTTGTTATCTTGATCTTCATTCCTTCTCCTTCCCTATATACATTACATTATGACAATAGGACAAACAGCATTTTATGATTTTCAATAGCAAATTCTGAAAAACAAGTTAATTCAATTACCCAACCAGTTGCCATCAAGTCAACCCTGACTTATGGCGACCCCACGTGTGTCAGGGTAGAACTATGATCCAGAGGGTTTTCCATGGCTGATTTTTCGGAAGTAGATTGCCAGGTCTTTCATTTAGCAGCTGTGCACATTAACCATTTGCACTACCCAGGGACTCCACTCAAGTATAAGATCACAAGAAAAATGGGGGCAGCATTTTCAAAAGACACTCCTGCCTTTTTAATCTAGAGACTTTGGGAGTCATTTTGAACACCTAGAATCATGCTATTACTTGGAAAAAAAACCCATTGCTGTCGAGTCAATTCTGACTTGTAGCGACCCTACAGGACAGAGTAGAACTATCCCATAGGGTTTCCAAGGAGCGACTGGTGGATTCGAACTGCCGATCTTTTGGTTAGCAGCCAAGTTCTTAACCACTACACCACCAGGGCTCCCATTACTTGAAAGATACTGATTTAAACATACACACAAATACACAAGAGGTCTTAAAAATTTCTAAATGAAGCTTAAGCATGAATCTAGATATCTGTATACCTCAACTTGTATTAGTCATTATTATGTATTTTGCCATAAAAGCACTTTTGCAGCAACATGAAGCTACTTAGATTTTCAATTCAAGAATGATTAAACCAAACTCCTAATACAGCATATTGAAAAGCATTCAAGCATTATACTAGGTGGTTCAGAAATACATTATGGCTAACTATATAAATACAAACTGTCTTGCCACAGATTTCATTTAATGACTAATAGAGAAAAATTTGAAGTCATCTTCTTGAACATACACGAACTCATACATTCTGATAAAAAAATCTTCTAAGTTAAAAATGTTAATGTGTTGTAATTTTACAATCCTACTGATTAATATTATAATACTTTAAGCTTATAATTTTGCATTTTCTGAGAAGCTATCATCCTCTCATACATCTGTCTTACTAATTATATATATATATGTACATATATATTTATACCATACATTAAAATTTATGGAGTATCTTCATTTATCCCATTTAACCCTTATGGCAACACTGTGAAGCAAGTATTGCTGTCATTCCATCTGAAAGAAGCTGATGATCAGAAAGATTATGCAATTTGTCTAAGATTACACAGCCTAGGAAGTGGCAGGGTTGATGCTCAAACCCAGGGTTCCTGATTAAAAAACTGTGTCTTCTTTCTATTCTACCAACTCCCATTATACTTTTTGTACTGTGACATCTTAAAATTGTTCAGTAGGTTTTAGTATTAGCTATCCTGGGATGGACAAGTTAAATGTAGGTGTGCTAATGAAATAACATGTACTTTTGAGATCACTTAACCCCTCTCAAGCATCCTGGTTTTTATTTGTAGAAAATAAAAAGGAAATATTTAGACATGGGGTCACAGATATAGTTACCAAACATGAAGATAAAGCCCACTGAAGATACAAGGTTTGAGTTTTATAAATGGAAAGGAAAATGGTCTTACCTTCAGCCTTTGGAAAACTTGAAAATTCAGGTACATATTCCTCTAATTCAGTATTACCACAAGGATGAAAGTCCTTTATCTGGTCTCCAGGAATGCAAAATTTAATAATATAATTCATTTTAATCTGATCGGTTTTATATACAACAAATTCATCATCCTAGGCCAAATAGAAATTAACAGGTGGTAAAAAACAAAACAAAAAAAATTTTGTTGGTAGGTGTTCTTACAAAATACAATTTCATGTTTACTAATTTAGAAAATAGTGAATTGAGACCATACATATACAATCATTATTTACACTTAAGCATACTTAATAAAGCGAGGAGCAAAAAGTTGACACTTTGTCTATTTCTTGATAAAAATACCTCAAAGTCCGTGATGACAGTTGCTGTTTGTGAGACTCCATGGACACTGTCATAACCTGGTGGTGCTTCTGTTAATGAAAAATCCTTCTTGTACAAGTCCATACACTTCCCAAGGGCCACATTACAAATGACCAAGAGTCTAGTGCCATCTATTTCTCCTGGGTGTGAGTACTTAATGCTTGTACTGTATATGAAAAGAAATAATACATATATGTAATTTACAGTTACATATCATTTATTTTCCATATAGGAAATATTGCTTAAAAGACTTTGCTGGCAGAACATTCCAAATTTTATTGTTTTTGAAATAGCTCCAAATATTCAATTTAGAACTTTATTATTCATTTATTTACAATTTTTAATAACAAACACATACAGCACCCTTATGTTGTGTGAAGCAGTGCTCAAAGCACTTTGTTCCCAGGGAGAGGTGAATTCTACGTGTTCTCCCAAATCTTTATTAGCTATTAAAATATATACATTTTGCTATAATAAAAACCAGAGTGGTGAAAGAGAAGAAAAAGAACACCTTATTAATTAGGAAAAACTGGATTTAATTCTCTGCATCAAAGTTCAGAAAGAACATTGAATATTAAGTAAGTAAGAACGGATCAAAGGGAAAGGCAGTCTGAATTCTAATGCAGTCTTCTGAATCAAAATAGAAAAATAAAAATTATTTCAAATGGCATTCATTTGAACGATTCTGTTTTAACTCCTTTTGGGAATCAGTAGTATAAAGCAACTCTTACTATTAGGAGCAACAGGCTAGGATACAACTTTGGGATCAACAATTCAGGGACATATCTCCTTTTTTTTTTTTTTAATTGTACTTCAGATGAGGGTTTACAAAGCAAAAAAGTTTCTCATTAAACAGTTAATACATACATTGTCTTGTGACATTGGTTGCCAACCCCACAACATGTCAACACTCTCCCCTTCTTGACCTTGGGTTCCCCATTACCAGCTTTCCTGTCCCCTCCTGCCTTCTCATCCTTGCCCCTGGGCTGGTGTGTCCACTTAGTCTCGTTTTGTTTTATGGGCCTATCTAATCTTTGGTGAACCTCAGGAGTGACTTCATTACTGAGCTATAAGGGTGTCCGGGGGCCATACTCTTGGGGTTACTCCAGTCTCTCTCAGACCTGTAAGTCTGGTCTTTTATTTATTTATTTTTGTGAGTTAGAATTTTATTCTACATTTTTCTCCAGCTCTGTCAGGGATCCTCAAATGTGATCCCTGTCAGGGCAGTTGGTGGTAGTAGCCAGGCACAATCTAGTTGTGCTGGACTCAGTCTGGTGGAGGCTATGGTAGTCGTGGTCCATTAGTCCTTTGAAATAATCATTCCCTTGCGTCTTTGGTTTTCTTTACTCTCCCTTGCTCCAGACTGGGTGAGACCAGTGGAGTATCTTAGATGGCCACTCACTCCATATTTTTTGTTTGTTTGTTTTTTTAAAGATCAAAACCAAAGTGTGCTGCCTGACTGCCCTTCTTAGTTCCATTTCCCATAAGACTTGCACTTTTAATCTTTTGTAATTATTTTCCCTGTTCCTCCTATGAGCCCCTCCTCTTCTGTAGGCTCTTTACCTATAATGTATAAACATGCTTAAATCCTTCCTATCCAACTCCCAATCCCGTTGACCCTGTCCCCTCTACCCTTCTACCTATCCTTCTCCTTCCTTTCTCACCCATACTCTTGACAGAGGTACCCAACCACCATCTCTTCTTCCTCATTTGCCGGTCACTCTTCAACCCACTGCAATTTGGCTCCTATTCATACTTTTCCACTGAAACCATTCTGCCAAAAATTACTGAAGACTTCAATGTGGTCTTTAGTATGAATGAATTTTTAAAAGAATATTTCCATGTTTAAAATTTTTTATTTTGAAATATTTCATACATAGGAAAATAAATTTAGCATATAAATGTTTAAAGAATAATAAAACATCCATATAGCTACTGCCTAGCTTAAGAAACAGAACATCATCCATGTTTTTGCTGCTGCCTCATGGACACCCAGAGGTAATCAAAACACTGTCTAGATTTTTGTGTATATTATTTTCTTTCTTTTATAGTTTTGACACATAGGTATGCATTCCTCAACAACATATTGCTTAGTTTTGTTTACTTTTCAACTTTACATATATGTACCAAAACCAAAAACCCAACCCACTGCCATCGAGTCAATTCCAACTCATAGTTACCCTATAGGACAGAGCAGAACTGCCCCCATAGAGTTTCCAAGGCTGTAAATCTTTACAGAAGCAGACTGCCACATCTTTTGCAAACTGCCAGACTTTCGGTTAGCAGCCGAGCACTTAAACCACTGTGCCACCAGGGCTCCTTCATATATATATGAAGTTCATATGAACTTCATATATATATGTATATATACTTACACGTACATATATACATATACAGTATATATATTCGTACATACATATATGCGCTATATATATATATACACACACTCATGTAGTAATTCATGACTTGCTTTTTCTGCTCTCCATTATGTTCCTAAAGTTCACTGATTCTGACATGTGTGGCTGCTCCCCACTTGTTTAAAGTGCAGTACAGTATTCCATGTAGGACTATACTAAAATGAATACATTCCACCATCAAAGGATATTTGAATTCTTTCCAAGTTTTTGTTATTACAGTGTTCTTAAACATTCTTGTATATGGTATATGTGTACTAGAGTATTTCTAGGGTAGTGATTCTCAACCCTGGTTGCACATCAGAAACACCTACGGAACTTAAATGTGCCCTGGTGGGATAGTGGTTAAGAGCTATGGCTGCTACCAAAAGGTTGGCAGTTTGAATCTACCAGGGGCTCCTTGGAAACCCTATGGGGCAGTTCTACTCTGTCCTATAGGGTCACTATGAGTCGGAATTGACTGGAAGGCAACAGGTTTGGCTGGTTGAGGGAACTTAAAAATGATTGCCAACCAAGCCCCACCCCAAGAGATTCTGCTTTTACTGATCTGGGGTGAAATTCAGGCACCAATAACTTATAAAAGCTCCACCAGGTGATTCTAATGTGCAGTCTAAATTATACTTATAGAGAGAGAAAGAGAGAGAGAGAGAGAGAGAACCATTGCTTTAGGTATTTACCCAGGAATAGAATTTCCAGGTTATATAGGTTATAGGAGCCCTGGTAGTGCAGTGGTTAAAAGCTCGGCTGCTAACCAAAAGGTCTGCAATTCGAATCTACCAGCCACTCCTTGGAAACCCTATGGGGCAGTTCTGCTCTGTCCTATGGGGTCGCTATGAGTCGAAATCACTAGACAGCAATGGATTTGATTTGAGGGTTTTTGTTGTTGTTGTTTTATAGGTTATAAGCATCTCCAACTATATCAGATAATGCCAAAACCTGTTCAAGTGGGTGTATCAATTTTTATTCGCCCAGCAGTATATGAGTTCAGATTGTTCTACAGCCTCATCAACACCTAGAGTTACCAAACTTGTCTTCTATCAATCTGATAGATACAAACTGGTATCTCGGTATGGTTTACTTTGTATTTTTACTTACTAATCTCTTCAAATGTTATTACCCATACATGTTTCTTCCTCTGTTAGATTCTCATACATGTCTTTTGCCCTTTTGCTTATTGGGTTGTCTTTTTCTTATTGATTTGTAGGAGTTCTCTATATATTTTGGATAACTACCCTTTGTCCTGGACCTGAACGCAGGCTCTATCATTTAACTAGTTTTGTGGCCTTATGCAAGTTACTTAACCCTCCTGAGTCTATTTCCTGTTCATAAAAGGATGTCGCCATGGTAATGGAGTGGTTTATAGGTAGTGTGCACATTCAGCACTCAGCCCAGTGCAAAGTACACTGTGACAATTATGAAAACAAATTTAAATATTAACAGGGATACTAAAGAGGAAATATTATTCCAGACATATGTAGTTGTCATGGATTGAATTGTGTGCCCCAAAAATATCTGTCAACTTGGCTAGATCATGATTCCCAGCATTGCATGATTGTCTACCATTTCATCATCTGATGTAATTTCCCTAAGTGTTGTAAACTTTGTCACTATGATGTAATAAGATGGATTAGTTGCAGTTATATTGATGAGGTCTATAAGATTAGATAGTGTCTTAAGCCAATCTCTTTTCAGATATAAAAGAGAGAAATGAGCAGAGAGACATGGGAACCTCACACCACCAAGAAAGCAGTACCAGGAGCAGAGTGTGTCTTTTGGACCTGAGGTTCCTGCGCAGAGAAGCTCCCAGACCAAGGGAAAACTGATGCATCACAAGGACCTTCCTCCAGAGACGACAGAGAGAGAAAGCCTTCCCCTGGAGCTGGTGCCTTGAATTTGGACTTGTGGCCTACTAGAGTGTTAGAGAATAAATTTTTCTTTGTTAAAAGCCATCCACTTGTGGTATTTCTGTTATAGCAGCACTAAATATCTAAGACAGTAGTTAATTCAGAACAGATAAACTGTTTAGCAGAGAAGTCATACAGTGTAGCAGTGAAGATTGCTGGCTCTGGAGAAAGACTGGCTGGAAAGGCTGAGTTCCATTGGTGTCATACTTTAGCTCTGTGGCCTTAGGCAAGAAACCCTCTGTGTCCCTGAATTTCTTCATCTGTGATAGGAGATAATAATAGAACCTACCTCAGAGGGCTATTGTAAAGATTAAGTTAATAAATATTTGTAAAAGATCTCAGACTAGTAAAATCACAAAGGTGATTTCAAACATAATTTTTCCAGATGTTCACTACAGAAGACGCGCTTCTGCAATATACTGAGAAAACAGTTTGCTTTCAGTGATCTTTCTTAGGTGAGAAACTCTTCCAAAAACAGTGAGAAAAACACATAGCAAGTATTCAATCATCATTCCTTGGTGATGGATGTAAGTAACATGATTACAAATATACTAACCGGAGGGAATCACTGAAATATATCCCACTCCCAAGATTGCCAACGTCTGTTCTTTTCACGCCGTGATCTTCAACCACTTTGGGTAAAAGCAGCCCTCTGAAAAAGAAAGAGCACCATGAGGATTTACTAGAAAAAATGATCTTTTATCACAGCCTCGTAATTCCAACAGTCAGGTGCTATTTAAAACACATGAAATGAAAAAGAAATATGCATTTTAACACAAATGGAGTTCCAGATACTATCAAAATGTAGCACGCTACGGCTGGCTTCTCATCACCGTCTTGATACTGCCAGCCATTTTTCCTGCCTCTGGACTCTGCCTACTTCAACCCAAACCCTCCCTCCCCACCCCTGTGCTCAGCAGAACAATGCTTTAAGCCCAACACTGACAGCATTTCTCCCTTGCTCAAGAACTTACACACATTCCTGTTGGGCTTCTAGCATTCAAAGAACTCTTTGCAATCACACTTGTAGGCCACGTTACCTCTGGGAAGATGGGGAAGGGAGACTTCGGCTTTTTATTATATAAACATCTGTTTCTAAATTTTGTCTTATGAACTTAATACAATTAATTTTGCAAAATGTACAGCAAAAAAAAAAAAAGATGAAAATCAAGCCGATTTTTATTAAAAATGTTTTCTGTGATTATGCCAGCTTCCCTCGCTTTCCACCCACATCTCCATTCTCTCCTGACATGGCTCCTTCATGATATCGCAGCTCATGCCTGACCCTGTCTCTGTGCTTTTGCTCCAGTTGAATCTGTTAATTCCACGAACATCACTTTTTTAAAAAATTTTATTATAGATGAAGTTTTGCAGAGCAAACTAGTTTCTCATTAAACAATTAATACACGTATTGTTTTGTGACATTGGTTGCCAAACCCACAACATGTCAATACTCTCCCGTTCTCATCCTTGGGTTCTCCATTACCAGGCTTCCTGTCCCCTCCTGCCTTCTCATCCTTGCACTTAGGCTGGTGTGCCCATTTAGTCTCGTTTTGCTTTATGGGCCTGCGTAAACTTTGGCTGAAGGGTGAACCTCAGGAGTGACTTCATTACTGAGCTATAAGGGTGGGCAGGGGCCATACTCTCAGGGTTTCTCCAGTCTCTGTCAGACCAGCAATTCTGGTCTTTTGTGTGTGTGTGTGAGTTAGAATTTTGTTCTACATTTTTCTCCAGCTCTGTCCAGGACCTTCTATTATGATCCCTGTCAGGGCAGTCGGTCGTGGTAGCTGGGCACCATCTAATTGTGCTGGACTCAGTCTGGTGGAGGCCATGGTAGTTGTGGTCCATTAGTCCTTTGGACTAATCTTTCCTTTGTGTCTTTGGTTTTCTTTATTCTCCCTTGCTCCAGACAGGATGAGACCAGTGGAGTATCTTAGATGGCTGCTCACAGGCTTTTAAGACCCCAGACGCTACTGCTCATCAAAGTACAATGTAGAACATTTTCTTTATAAACTACATTATGCCAACTGAGCTAGATGTTCCCCAAGATCATGGTCCGCATAGCCCTCAGTCCAGTAATTTGGTCCCTCAGAGAGTTTGGATGTGTCTATAGAGCTTCCATGACCTTCCCTGGACAAGTTGTCATGGCTTCCCCAGTATTATGTACTGTCTTACCCTTTACCAAAGTTACCACCTATCTATTGTCTAGTTAGTGACTTTCCCTCCCACTTCTCCTCTCCCTCATAACCATCAAAGATTGTTAATTTTTGTGTGTAAACCTTTTCATGAGTTTTTATAGTAGTGGTCTCATACAATATTTGTCCTTTTGTGACTGACTTATTTCACTCAGCATAATACCTTCCAGATTCATCCATATTGTGAGATGTTTCACAGATTCATCATTGTTTTTTATAGTTGTGTAGGATTCCATTGTGTATATGTTTATTCATTCATCTGTTGATGGGCACTTAGGTTGTTTCCATCTTTTTGCTATTATGAACAATACTGCAATGAACATGGGTGTGCATATGTCTATTCATGTGATGGCTCTTATGTCTCTAGGATATATTCCTAGGAGTGGGATTGCTGGATCGTATGGTATTTCTATTTGGACATCACTTCTTCAAGACCCATCTTGAGGTTTATCACCTCTAAAATGTCCTACCTTCACTTATTACAGACGTCACCTCCCTGGTGCTGTACTCACCTTCCAGGTGCACAATAAATGCAATTAAATAAATCAATCACTCACCTTTCAAATTTAATGTACTTGTGTTATAGGAAAGTCAATCTCTATTTACAAAAGTACACTTAAAATGAAAATTACTCTTTGATATATGTCCCATATGCTTGCAACTGACTTGCTTAAAAGCAAATAAAACATTTCTCTGTATTAAAGAAACTTTAGAGAATCGTTTGGGGTTTGTCTTTACCCTTTTTCCTATGTGACTCTGTGATTTTTTTCTGCTTGTTATGTGTCTGTATCTTTACTTTTCAACCAGGTTATAATTTCCTAGAGGACAGAAACCACATATTGGATTCCTTTCAATGGCCTCTAGAGCAGTGTTCCTTTCCTGGAACTACAAGGAGTTGAGATGGAATGCAGGCTTCTGAGTCACCGACAATGTCCTCAACTTCAAAATGGAGGGGCTCTGCCCTGGCTCTCCTCTGTTCAACATTTTAATCAACAACTTTAGTGAGGACAGAGAGTGAATGCAGACCAAAATGCAAATAACTTTATGTTAAGAGAAATGTGTAAACAAATCAGAAGGCCATCAGATGAACAGATTGCTTAATACGTTGTATCCATGGGCCAGAACTAACAAGAGTATATTTATATTTAATAAGGACAAATAAAAAGTCCTATAGTTTAGATGAAAACAGCAACAACAACTGCATGAGTCAGGGTAGGGAAGAAAGCTTGCATGAGAAAGATTTAGAGATTTTATTGGACCACAAGCTCAATGCAGTAAGAATTAAAAGTGCAATGAGGCTGACCAGGAAAGGCTGCCTGAGGAGAAGGGAAATGAGTCAAGCTGTGTTTCCTGCCAGTTAGAGAAGCCCAGGGTTTAGCACAAGTGCAATTCTGTAGATAAAATTAAAAGTGTTCAGCAGAAAGTAGCCAGAAAGAAGAGAAGTTGAAAGAACTGAAGTTGCCTAACCTGGAACAGAAAAGATTTAGGGGAGAAAAGATCAATGAATTAAATTCTGAAAAGGCAGACATTAAGAACAGAGATGACATTTCTTTGTGTGTGATCAAGGTGAATGAAATAGAACTACAGGACGAAAGTTACAAGGAGGTAGACTCCAGTGTCTGATAAAGAGGCACTTTTAAATAGAGTAGTTGGAAAATAGATATGCTGCTTAGTGCACTGCATTCCCTGTCATGGGAAGGATTGATATTGAAGCCCATTGGTGCAGTTAGAGTTAGAAAAACTCATGTTCACTATCTGTCAAAGCAAAATGCATCCTTCATGTTCCACTTTTTTTATTTTCCTCATGTCCTCACTACCCAATCTCTTTTAAATTTTTCTTGCATCCTTTCAGATCTGCACTGGTAACCAAAGATTGTTTTCTTGGCTAAACTCTATCAACCAGCCACTATTAGAGGGTACATAAAAGATGAGACCCAACTTCCTTGAAAAGCAGGGTGCTATTAGAGAGTTAGAGTGGCACAGAGGATAGCAATTTTAGGTTACAGTTTAATTAGTTAGACTTTAAAGAGTTGATACATGTACACAATAGAAAATCCACTAAGTATAAATGGATAGCAAGAAATGGTCTCCCACCCATGGCACCCAGTACTCAGTTCCCCTCCCAGAAGTCAATACTGTTAGCAGTTTCCAGAGAGATTACCTTTTTTTCTTTTTAAAATGATACAGAATATTTCATAAATACACAAAAGTAGAGAAAATATTATAATGAACCCTGAAGTACCCATTGCCCAGCTTCACAATGATCCATTTCCAGAAATATTATTTACATATATAAGCAAAACATCCACACGTGTGTTTCTTAAAACTGACCATATCTTAGAGACCCTATCATATTAATACGTATGCCTCATTCTTTTAAGTGACTATTCCTTTGTCTGGATGTATCAGAATTATCTGAACTAGTCCCAGCTAATGCACTCTGGATAGAAATTTGCTACTATAAATAACACTGAAATGAATAGTCTTGACTACTCATCGTTTTCCGCATGTGCAAATATATCTGTACAGTAAAATTCTTAATGGATCACAAGGGGTATACATATTAACAGTTGTTTTTGTAAACCACATTTAATATAACTGGCTTATCATTATGCTACAAGGAATTGAACAACCAATCAAGAACTACAGAGAAATTTAATCAATTTTTAGGACTGTAAAAAGGAAATCTTAGTAAATGCTTATGCCCACACACATTAATAAATTTAATCATTCTAGTTCTACCATTTGATGAATGAGTCATATAAATTAAAAACTGGCAAACCACTTACTAGCAGTGTGTACTCAGTGAATTTGGTAGTTCCTGTTAAATTGCCCTTAAAGATTTGTACTAATTTTCACCCCCACTAAAATGTGTGAAAATGCCTCCTTCTCCTTGCCAACACAGTGCGTTGTCAAACTTTTCCATTTCTGTGACTCGATAGGTGAAAAATGGTATCATGATGTAGTTTGCATATTAAATTATTTTCAGTGATACTGAACATCTCTTCAAGTGTTTAAAAGTTAGCTGTACTTCCTTTTCTGAAGTGTTTTTGCCTATTTTTCTAGGGCATCATAACATTTTTTTTATCTTATTGATTTGTAGGTGTTATTGTTGGTTGCCACTGAGTTGGCTCCAACTCACGTCGACCCCATATACAACAGAACAAAACATTGCCTGGTCTTGCATCATCTTCGTGACTTTTGGTATGCTTGAGTCCATTGTTGCAGCTACTGTGTATTTCGAGTGCCTTCCAATCTAGGGGGCTCATCTTCCAGCACAGTATCACACAAGTAGCTACAGATCATATATTACAGAAATTAGCCTTCTGCTGGAGATACATAATTTAAATGTTTTTCCAGTTTGTCATCTGTCATTTGACCTTGTTAGTGATATTTTAAACTTTTATTGTGGTACTTTTCAAACACATAAAAATAGAGAGAACTGTATAATAGTAAAATGAAAGCGAGTGTTTTATGACTTAGAAATTTTGTTTTTATGTAGTTGATCTTTACTCTATGATTTTTGGGTTTGGTTCTACTTATAAAGGCCATTCCTGCTCAAAGATTCTTTTAAAAATTACTCTCTCATTTTTCATTTAGTACTTTTCTGCTTTTATTTTTAATATTTAAATCTTTGCTCTAACTGGAATTCATTTAAGTGTGAGGAGTAAAGTAAGGGTCAGCTTGTTTTCTGCAGGAACTACCAATTTATCCCACCACTCAGTACTGAAGAAATAATTTTCCTTCAACAGGGATGAAGCTACTTTTATCATATACTTAAATCCTTTATGCTTTTGAGTTTATTTCTGGACTCTTTATTCTATTGATTTATGTATTTATGTGGCACCTCACTATTTTAATTAATATAGCTACACGTTTTAATGTCTGATTGGTTAATCTTCCCTCATTACTCTTCTTTTTCAGAATTATCTTGGTAATTTCAAATTGTTTAAAAAGTATGTACTGTAGAATTAGCACTTTATTTCTTTTAAAAAATCGTGTAGTACTATTACTGTGACAGCACTATACCTATAAATTAATTTTAGGAAAATTGGCATCATTCTGATTGAGGCCAGTGTCTTTTAGGTCCCTCCATAGCAGTTTATAAAGTTTTCTTCAGGTAGATCTTGTAAATTTCTTTTAAAGTTTCTTCTTCAGTATTTAACTAAGGATCTAAATTCAACCATATTTTTCCGTGTACCCCGTGATCTTCAGTTTCAGCCTTAACATTAAGTGGTTATTCAAAGCAAGCAGAAAACTAGAGTTATGTTTTAAATAGGTAACTCACAAGTTCTGGGCACTCTAATTTCTAGAACTTTCTCTTTAAGTATTGGGCTATCCCTAGATTAAACACACATGGAAGAGTCATGAAATATACAGTAACTTTTATTCATATTATACTATCTTCAATAAGCAATTCATTCCCATGCACTTCACTTTAAAAATTTGCTGTTGTTGTTAGGTGCCATCAAGTCGGTACCGACTCATAGGAACCCCACATACGACAGATCGAAACACTGCTGGGTCCTGTACCATCCTGTTAAATCATTGTTATGTTTGAGCCCATTGTTGCAGCCACTGTGTCAATCCGTCTCATTGAGGGCTTTCCTTTTTTTTGCCAACCCTCTACTTTACCAAGCATGATGTCCTTCTCCAGGGATTGGTCCCTCTGATAACATATCCAAAGTACATCAGACAAAAGTCTCACCATCCTCACTTCCAAGGAGCACTCCAGCTGTACTTCTTCCAAGACAGACTTGTTCCTTTTTCTGGCAGTCCACGGTATATTCAATATTCTTTGCCAACATCATAATTCAACGGCATCAATTCTTTTGTCTTCCTTATTCATTGTCCAGCTTTCACATACAAATGAGGGTATTGAAAACACCATGGCTTGGGTCAGGCACACCTTAGTCCTCAAAGTGATATCTTTGCTTTTTAACACTTTAAAGAGGTCTTTTGCAGCAGATTTGACCAATGCAATACATTGTTTGATTTCTTGTTTACTGCTTCCATGGACATTGATTGTGGATCCAGGTAAAATGAAATACTTGACAACTTCAATCTTTTCTGCCTTTATCATGATGCTGCTTATTGGTCCAGATGTGAGGATTTGTTTTCTTTATGTTGAGGCGTAATCCATACTGAAGGCTGTAGTCTTTGATCTTCATCAGTAAGTGCTTCAAGTCCTCTTCACTTTCAACAAGGAAGGTTGTGTTATCTGCATATTGCAGGTTGTTAATGACTCTTCCACCAATCCTGATGCCACATTTTTCTTCATATAGTCTAGCTTCTTGGATTATTTGCTCAGCATAGAGATTGAAGAAGTATGGTGAAAAGATGCAACCCTGACTCACGTCTTTCTTTATTTTAAACCATGCAGTATCTCCTTGCTCTGTTCGAACAACTGCCTCTTGGTCTATGTATAGATTCCACACGAGCACAATTAAGTGTTCTGGAATTCCCATTCTTCACAAAGCAATCCATAATTTGTTATGATTCACACGGTTGAATGCTTTTGGATAGTCGATAAAACACAGGTAAACATCTTTCTGGTATTCTCTGCTTTCACCCAAGATCCATCTGACATCAGCAATGATATCCCCTGTTCCACATCCTCGTCTGAATCCAGTTTGAATTTCTGACAGTTCCCTGTAGATGTACTGCTGCAACCACTTTTGAATGCACTTCAGCAAAATTTTACTTGTGTGTGATATTAATGATATTGTCAGATAATTTCCGCATTCTGTTGGACCACCTTTCTTTGGAATGGGTACAAATATGGGTCTCTTGCAGTTGGTTGGCCAGGTAGCTGTCTTCCAAATTTCTTAGCATAGCTGAGTGAGCACCTCCAGTGCTGCATCTGTTTGTTGAAACATCTCAACTGGTATTTCATCAACTTCTGCAGCCTCATTTCTCACCAATGCCTTCTGTGCAGCTTGGACTACTTCCTTCAATACCATTGGTTCTTGATCATATGCAACCTCCTGAATTGGTTGAACATTGACCAATTTTTTTTTGGTACATTGAGTCTGTATATTCCTTCCATCTCCTTTTGATACGTCCTGTGTCATTCAATATTTTGCCCATAATATCCTTCAAAATTGCAACTTGAGGCTTGAATTTTTCTTCAATTCTTTCACTTTGAGAAATGCCGAGCATGTTCTTCCCTTTTGGTTTTCTAACTCCAGGTCTTTACACATGTCATTATAATATTTTACTCTGTCTTCTCAAGCTGTCATTTGAAATCTTCTGTTCAGCTCTTTTACTTCATCACTTCTTCCATTCACTATGTTCAAGAACAAGTTTCAGAGTCTCTTCTGACATCCATTTTGGTCTTTTCTTTCTTTCCTGTCTTTTTAATGACCTTTTGCTTTCTTCATGTATTATGTCCTTGAGGTCTTCCCACAATTGGTCTTTAAAAATAAATAATAATAAATCCATAATTTATATTATATACCTAATTATAAAGATTATAATTTTCTTCTGAATGCATTAAGCTGGCTCACTTTAACTGAAAAGACTCATGTAGTCCAGAAAATAATTATAAAGAAAGTAAAACACTTCATATTTGTGAGGCTAAAATATTAGAAAACAAAGATGGCATATTCTTACCGGGATAGAATTCCTACAATGTTTCGTGCGGGAGACCCATGCAATAAGGATTTCACGTTGCCGAGTTTGCTCAAAAATTCTGTGGCTTCATTCACTCTGCCAACTCTATATATCTGCAAGATGTTCACTGGACTTCTACTGCAAAAATTAGGAAAAATACTAAGGATTTGATTGAATTAGATGAGATAATTGCTGAACTACAGAACTACAGCTCCCCCTCCTCAGGGCTTGAAGACATAGTTTTTTTCTTCCCTCTGACTCTCTACAGAAAACTAGTTCTCCCCCTCCTGATTCTACCTTCATTGTAATAGACCCTCAATTTGTATTAGATCCCAAGAGGTCCATCAAAATATATCAAAAGAATTTGATAATATATAAAAGCAAAATCTGGAAAAAGACTGGAGGAATGTGCTTTGAGGATGCATGACCAAGGAAGCCAAACAAAATTTTAGATAAATCTGAATTAGTCCATGAGGTGCTAGAAAACCAGCTCTCAAAACAACAACAGTATCCACACACAATCCTGACTTATAGCATTTGCTGATTTCTGTGGTGCATTTCAAGCTATGAATGGTTTAACAACCAGTTTGCAAAATTCCTGAAAATTTGACAATTTTTTCTCTCCAGCTAGTATGAGGTAGCTCCAATAAACCACGGTTGGTTCCAAGGGTGTGCAAGGTTGATGAAGGTTAAACTCAGCCCAGTATAAAGAGAACTGAACTGCCAGAAATGCCTGGGCTAAAGACTTCAGATGGGAGCAGTGCTGGAGTGGAGTGAATGACCAAATCAGTAAAAGTCAGTCTCGCCCTCTAGAAGAATCAATAAAATTAGTTTCTGAATCATGAAGCTGAGTTTCCACTCTGTGCCAAGGTGGTTCTACGGAGATGCTAACACTAAACGAGGACTTGTCTGAGCAGCTGAACCATCTGTTTGTTGTTATTGCTGCTCCCTAGAGTTACAGAATGCACAAAAACATGGATATGCACAATAAATAAGACAAATGGAACTGACATTTAAGGATGCCACATTTCATGACGTTTTCCAACTTCATATTTTCATGCTATACAATGGTCCTTGTAAAAGCTGCCACACACATAGTCCTGCATTTTTAAATCTTAATTTAAGTGGGTTTTCTTATGTAATACCCCTCAGAACACAAGCTCAAACATCCTTTTATCTTAAAACTTTAAATTTAACTGTAAGCAAGATAGAGTAACCATGATGAGAGAGTGCAATAATAGTATTTTCAAGCATAAAATATTGCCCAGGCCCTATGTATAAATACAGAAGAAAGTAATTTGTCATCACAACATAATTATCCTGTTACTAATGATTAAATGATCTAGGTAATTGTGGTGAACTAGCTCTTTAGCAGAATCTGAAATAGCATTACATAATAATAGATCAAAAGATATCTCCTTTATGCTTACCTGTGATTATTCTGCAGTACCTCTTTCATAACACTGAAAAATTCTTCAGTGTTCTGTTCAACATGCTCAATTTTGCATCTCAAAGCTCGGTATTTGGCAAGAGATGGTGGGTTGGGTTTGTACAAATTACTTTCACAGACATTCACCATGTCTCTTATTAGCTATAGATGGAAATGATAAACAGATGTTAGAATCAACACATATCAAAATTAATATTTATATCACATTAACACTTTATCAAAAAGTTTGGAAAAAGAAGGGTTTTTCCCAAATATTTTGCCCAAGATCTGCCTGTACTGTTAGTGGCATATTAAAGCCAATATAGTTCCTCATAGCACAATATACAATAATAACAATAAGAACATATGTTAGTATAACACATTGGTGCTAATAAAGTGTTTTCAAATACATCATTTCATTCAATCCTCACTTCAAAAATGTGAAGTAGGTCTTATTATCCTCATTGTACAATGAGGAAAGTGAGCTCAAAGAAGTTAAATCAATTGCTCAAGATCTGACAGCTAACAGGGGACACTAACTAAACTGGAACTCAGATCACCAGGATTCGAGTCCAGTTCTGCTTAACAAAAATTTATTAAGCATATTCCGTATGCCAGACATTGTACTTGGTTTGGAAGATACAAAGATGAGTAAAACATGGGTACCTGCCCTGCAAGTGACTCAAGTACACCACAGTGTAGTCATAGGTCATGGAGCTTGGCAGAAAGAACACCATTTTAGGAAAACCTGAATTATGTTTATTCTAGGGATTTGTTGCTTTCAACATCTTTGAGTGTAAGAGACACTGAAGGAGGGCATTAGCCAGTCTCCTTCCAGGGTTTAAAGTGTTATGTGCCTTTCTGACCTTGGAGTGGTGTCATGGATTGACCTGTGCCCCCCAAAAAGATGTGTTATCAATTTGGCTGGGTCATGATTCCCAGTATTGTGTGATTGTGCACCATTTTGTCATCTGATGTGATTTTCCTATATGTTGTAAATCCTATCATTATGATGTTAATGAGATGGATTAGCAGCAGTTATACTGATGAGATCTACAAGATTAGATTGTGCCTTAAGCCAATCTCTTTTGAGATATAAAAGAAAGAAGCAAGCAGAGAGACAGTGGGGCCTCATACCACCAAGAAAGCAGCACCAGGAGCAGAGTGCATCCTTTGGACCTGGGGTTCCTGTGTGGAGAAGCTCCTAGTCCAGGGGAAAATTGGTGAGAAGGACCTTCCTCCAAAGCCAATAGAGAGAGAAAGCCTACCCCTGGAGCTGATGCCCTGAATTTGGACTTGTAGCCTACTAGACTGTGAGAAAATAAATTTCTCTTTGTTAAAGTCATCCACTTGTGGTATTTCTGTTACAGCAGCACTAGATGACTAAGACTAGCAGGGAGGATCTTTCTAACTACAACTCAAAACCCACCAGCCATAAAGTAAAAGACTGATGCATGTTACTAAAATAAAAAATGTCTGGTATGGTAGAAATAAAACAAGCCAACCAACAACAAAAAGAAACAAAAAAATCACCATAAGTAAAGTGAAAAGACAAACAACTGGGGAGAATGTTTGAAACTCACATCATGGACTAAACTGTCTAACATATAAAGAGCTCTTAATATGAAGAAAAATATCAAAACCTAAAAGAAAAGTAGGGAAAGGACACGAACATAGTGTTCACAGAAAAAGAAACATAAATGGTCCATAAACATTTGGAAAGATGCTCAGCCTTATGACACTGAGAGACCATTTCTCATCCATATGATTGGCTAAAGTCTAAAAGATTGACAAATATGCTGTTGGCAAGACTAAAGGAAATAGAAACTTTCATTCATCAATAGCCGGAAGGCAAAAAGGTACAACCCTGATAAAGGAATCAGACAGTATCTAGCAAATTTACAGATGCATTTATCCTATAAGCCAGCACCTCCACTTCTAGAAGGGACCCTATTCCAGAGGTACACCTGTACAAGTATAAAATGACAAATATACAAGGTTATTCATTGTGGCATTGCTTGTATTAGCAAAATCTGGAAACCTAAATGTCTGTCAGTAGGGAACATCCACACAATATGGCACATCCCCATAGTGGGATACTAGAATGAGGATGATCTCTATGTACAGGATATATTAAGGGATGAAAGGAAGGTGCAGAACAGCAAGTATACTATACTACTTTTTAAAAAAGAGGGGAGAAATATAAACATATGTTTATAGTCATATTTACTTGCATAAAGAAACACCGCAAAGACAAACTAATAAAAATGGTTACCTACTGGGCAAGGGGCTGGGGTAGAGGGGATAGGGTAGAATTCAAACTTCTCCAAGTACATCTTTTTAATATAATTTTCACTTGTAAATTATGCAGATGCGTTACTTATTCAAAATATAAAATTAGAAAGTATTTGTGTGGGCACTGTATTTACCCTCTCAGTAACAAAACTAGTGACTGTGGCTCTTTATGTTGGGTGTTAGACAAATGGGGATATTGGAACATAATAAAGAATTATGAAATTTTAAATTTGGAAGGGACTGCTATCATCTCATTTACTGGTTCATCTCATTTATTGGTTCTTACTGTTTTTAGATTACAGACTCTTTTGGGAATCTAGTGAAAGCTGACTTCCCCCAAACATGCAAAATTTTACATCTACAAACTCCTCTGAAGTCTAAGTTAAAGACTAATAATCTGCCCCAACCCCTTCATGCACAGATGAGGCAACTCAGACTCAAAGAGTGACTTCAGCCTTGTCTAAGGCAGTGGTGGACACTGTGGCTGCCTAACCCAGCATCCACTTCCCCTTCATCTTTGCTAACTAGACGCTGAGTCTGTTCAGGCATCCACCCTTCCCCACACAACTCAGGGTAAGATGGCCATTTCTGAGTCAGTCATGTTATTCCATTCTCCTTGCCAGCAGTTGGCTTAGGAATGGGCACATGATTCAATTCTGAACAAAGGAGTAAGAATCTGCTGTGGGGCTTCCTGTAAGAGGCACAAAAAGAAGTGTTCCAGATGTAATGCTATGAATTGCTGATCGTGAGGAGAGCCAGGCTGAGAGTGAAGCTGTCACTTACAATGGAAGAATGGAGAGATGGAAAGAAACTGGGATCTTAATGGTAACGCTGAGTCCGCACCAGTAGCCACCCTACATCTGTACTTCTTATTACATAGGATAATAAAGGTCCTTATTGTTTAAGTCACTTAGTTATGGTTTTCAATTTCTTTTGCTGAAAGAATCCTAACTCATCTCATTATCTAGAAAATGATTTTACAATGTAGCAATTCTAAACAAATGTCTACATTTGTACTCCTATGCCGACATATCTTTCTTGGAAGAAGTACAGCCAGAATGCTCCCTAGAAGCGAGGATGGTGAGACTTTGTTTCGCACACTTTGCATATGTTATCAGAAGAGACCAGTCCCTGGAGAAGGACATCATGCTTGGTGGAGTAGAGGGTCATTGAAAAAGAGGAAGCCCCTCAACCAGATGGACTGACACAGTGGCTGCAACAATGGACTCAAGCATAAGGATGGCACAGGACCAGGCAGTGTTTCATTCTGTTGTACACGGGGGCGCTATGAGTCAGAACTGACTCGACAACATCTAACAACAACATGCTGACATATTCACGTTTGGAAACACGGCTTAGAGAACTTCTCCAAGGACGCAAAGCATTCTAAAATGGTTTGATAATCTGTTTTTGCACATAACTCAAGAGACAACTTCTGTGATTCAATGTTACCTTATTCATCAGATTAAGACTCCTGAAAATAACTTAAATTGAATTATACATTTTAGGGATTTACCTGGCAGAGGTCCTCTTTCTTAGATAATAGTCTCAGGTTAACTTCTTCAGTTGTTGGACCTTTGTGAGGTATTACTCTGTAGAATTCAGTCAGCATCTTTTGCAATTGTTCTGCCGTTTCTCCATTTTTCAGTGCTGCCTTTACTAGAAGGAGAATGCCCTCTGCCTTGCTCACCTTTAAATACAAGATGATATACAATAATTAAATCAGAGAAAAAGTGAAGGAGCATGTATAAAAATATCTAAAATAATTGTTAGACATGTTACAACTACCAATTTTCTATTGGACATTTGTCAAAAACAAATGCTGATCTTTACTATAGATGTGTCTCAATTGTGAAGACGATGCCATGAGGATTCTTCCAAAACTGGGCTCTGCTTAACTACAGGAAAGAACCAAATTCTTATGTACCTACACATATATGGACATAGATAAAGGTATAGATAGATATCTATCTATGGATAATAGATACAGCTACATATAGAACCAAACCAAATCCATTGCTGTCAAGTCGATTCGAACTCATAGCAACCCTATAGGACAGAGTAGAACTGCCCCATAGGGTTTCCAAGGAGCAGCTGGTGGATTCGAACAGTCAACCCTTTGGTTAGCAGCCATAGCTCTTAACCACTGCGTCACCAGTGCTCCTAGCTATATATAGACATAGATAGATGATAGAGAGATAGATAGATGATTGATAGAGAGAGATACATATAGAGAGAGGAATGCTAATGAAACACTAGCAGACTTGCTTTTCTTATAAGAAATTTAGAAAGATGCCAGACTCAACTAGGAACAAAAACCTCAAGAATATGTTTCTAATTACACATGTACTTTATGGGCTTTAATCCAGGAAACATTTTTCTCCAGGAAGTAAATTAGTTGAATTCCACAGAGGAAAACTGTCTGTGTTATTTTAATATGACAGTGCAGTTGCACAAGACGTACCATTGGGAATAGTTTCTTTCATTTGTTCTTTCTATTGCAATTAGACATAATTAAGAAGGCAAGAGCATTTTCTGTTGGGTTGGAAGCATACCTGCCTTTCCCTGAGACAGTCAGAAGTTACAAGACTCTAAAAGTAGTTAGCTATGAAAAAGGCTAACGTTTGGACATTAACTAATTATCAAGACCATGCATATCCCTCAGGTCTATTCAGGTCTATTACTAACCTCTTGACCTAAAGGATCAAGCCTCATAATTTGCAAGCAGTAAAAAGCTACCATTGATCAGCTGTTGTATCTGAGCATTTTACAGACAGGAATGTCTAGTTTTCTTGAAAGCTTATTTTCCCCTTAGTGCTCTCTATGCTCTTTTTCTCCAGGGTAAAAGGACAGAATAGTCAACAATCAACTCAGTTTGACTAGTACTAAAATATAAGTGTTATTTTTTAAGCTAATGAATCAGGAAGCAGGTTTGTCATGTTAGAGGTTATGTTTCAAGGACACATTGACTTACATCATTAAGACTAATTTTGTTCACTGGCTTGAGAAGCGTGTGCTCCAGGTGGCCCAGAGTTTCTGCCCAAATCATCTCCACCAAATCACTCACCTCTTGGCTCAGAGTATCTGAATTTATTACCTCCTCCAAAAGCAACTGGAGCAACAAAAAACAAAGAAACATCAACAAAAAGTTATCAAGAGTGAATGAGTTTAAAATCAACACACGGAGAAGAAGAGAAGTGTGAGAAGAAATAATTATAGCCCAGGAAAGAGTCACCCCAGCCAAGAAACAGCTTCTCCTCTAGGTCTCTCCTGTTTCTGGCCCCTCCCTCTGTCTCCTCCATACACTTGACTCTAATTTCCTCCCTCTCTTTCCATCCCATTTTATTTTTCTGCTTGCCTTTTGCCTTCAAATCGTACCCTGTAAGTTGGAGTCCTTCCAGTGGCATTAAGTACATGTAGTCAGAGTTACGCATTCAAATCGTGGTGTTGGTGAAGAAATTGAATATAGCATAGACTGCCAGAAAAACTAACAAACCAGTCTTAGAAGAAATACAACCAGACAGTTCCATAGAAGCGAGGATGGTAAGACTTCGACTCACTTTCTTTGGACATGTCATCAGGAAAAACCAATCACTAGAAAAGAACATGGTGGTGGGTAAAGTGGAGGGACAATGAAGGCAAGGAAGGACATCAGTGAGACGGATTAATACTGTAGCCAAAACAACGGACTCAAACATACCAATGATCATGAAGGTTGCGCAGGAAAAGGCAACATTTTGTTCTATTGCACATAGGGTCATCATGAGTCAGAGGTGACTTGATGGCAAGTAACAACAACAAGAAGTCAGAGTTAACCTAAATTGCTGTGTAAACCTTCACCAAAAGCACAATAAAATATTATTTAAAAAAAAAAAAAAGAAGTGAGGGTTAAGGATCCCTGAGTCCTGGCTTGTATTATAATAAATCTTTGCAAAGCTGTGAGGGTTTGTTGCTGAAATAGGCAGTGGGCTTTGTGGGTTATCCTGGAATTCACTTTCCACTCAGCCTCCATGCCTCCCTGTCGGTTCACCTTTCCTTTTCTTAACTCCTACTCTTCTCTTCTACTAGCTTTTTATTTGTATAGAGAAAACATTTCTACTAAAAGTATTAACTCAGGGTTTCCAGAAAGATGGTGTAATGAACAGATCTAAAATCCAGACCCTCTCTACAAGAACAACAATAAAAGCAACTAGAATCTAGTACAAAGCCCTGTAAGAAGTCTGAAACCATGGACAATGAAAAACAGCAAGGAACTGAAAATTGAATAAAAACAAGGACAAAGTGCAAGGTAGGGGAAGCAGCTCTTCCACTTTCCCAGCCCTTCCATTTCCTGGTACAGGAGAGGGATGCCCAGGCAGCAGCCTGACAACCAACTCACATTGGGCACATGGCTCCTGGCGCATGATAAGGGACCCCTTAAACCTGGGCTCTGAAACCAGGAGCAGATCTCTGGTGTGGACAGTGTAGGTAGCCCTATCCAGCCGACCTACACTGCCAGTGAGAGCACAGAACTCGGGCACCTCCAGATCCAAGGCCAAAAGCAGATCTCTGGGGCAGACAGTTTGAGGGGCCTCCACCCAACTCCTCCTAGTGTGGTGGAGGGAGGGCCGGAAGCCACCCAACAGCTGCCTGGCAGCTGAGCCACACCAACGGCGGGCACACGAATCTCTGAGGCACAAGAAGGGGTCTGATGGTTTGTGGCTCCTAAACCAAGGGTGGCTTTCCTGGGCAGACCAGAGAGGGTGCCTCCAGCCCCTACTAGTGCAGCAGAGAGAAGCCTGAAAACCACCTGGCAGTCACCCAGCAGTGACCCAGGGCACAGTGCAGGCCACAGTACATGAACAATTGGCCCTGGCACAGAAAAGCCAGGTTTGCACAGTGCAGGCCAAGATACCTGAGCAGTCGGACCTGGGAAAGAATGGCTTGGTGAGCACAACCCAGGCTAGAGTTCTGGTAAGTCCTGGGAAAGAGAAACCTGGTGCATGCAGCGCAGACTGCAGTACATGAACAATTGGGCCTGGGACAGAGACACATGGACAGTGAAGCACAGGCCAAGACACATGAACAGCTGGACTTGAGACAGAGCAGCTTGGTGAGCACAATGCAAGTGGGCATTCCCGTGCATCCTAGGAAAGAGCAGTGCATGGGTGCAGTGCAGGCTGCAGTGTATGTGCAGTCAGGCCCACTATGGAGAAGAATGAGGGGCATAGTGAGGGGCAGAACACCTGGGCAGACAGACCTGGTGCAGAGCAACTTAGCAAGCAGAGAATGGGCTGGAGTTCCCATGAGTCCCAGGATGAAACAATAAGCTGAGCACAGTGTAGTCTGGAGTTCATGAATAGTGAGGACATGTGATGAATTGGCAACAGTTGCTGCTTCCAGGGTGGGACTCTGAGGTTGGTGTAGTACAGATGATGCTTCTGGAAAAGGAGTCTGTGGTGTGTCTGTGACAGCTGCAGCTACTGAGTGAGGGGCCTAGTGCCAGAGTCATAAGGCCAGGCCTCACAGTGAGTAGGTCTGTGGTGAGCAATCAAAGACAGCTGGTAATCTCTAAAGAGGGGGCAGGTGCTGAAGGGGCATGGCCAGTATCTCTGAAGAAGGCATCTGGTACCAAAGTAATACGATTAGTGTGCCTAATAACTGGTGGGGAAGCAACCACACCAACTGCTACAAGCCACACAGTTTGGTGCTGAAGTGGCTCAGCTAGCAACCCCCTTAGGAAACTTAGAGGTGAAACAGTGACAGCCGGTGTCACGGGACAGTGAGACCAATAGGGAAGGGACAACAGCAACTGCACCTAGATGGGGAGTCTGGAGTGGAAGCAGAGAACTACAACCTTCAATAAACTTAAAAGATAATAATAACAACAACAATAAAGAGTAAGAAGAGTAAACTCTAGAGAAGGGGGAAATTTTAATTTCCAGAGTTATCACAGTAAAATAGCCTAATGTTCCAATTACAACAGACAAACACAAAGCATATAAAGAGGCAGGAAAGAATGACCCATGCAAAAGACCAAAATAAGGGAACAGAAACTGTCCCTGAGGAAGAACAGATAACAGAATAACTCACCAAAGACTTCAAAGCAACAGTTTTAAGCACGCTCAAAGAGCTAAAGGAAAATATGGAAAAAGAAGTAAAGGAAGTCAGAAAAACAACACAAGAATAAAATAAGAATTTCAATAAAGAGAAATTTAAAAAAAAATAGAAATACTGGAGCTGAAAAGTTCAATAACATAAATGAACAATTCTCTGGAAGGGTTCAACAGTAGATTTAAACCGGCAGAAGAGAGAATCAGTGAATGCAAAGACAGGACAAATGAGATTGTTCAGTCCGAGGGGCAAAAAGAAGAAAGAGTGAAGACAAATGAACAAAGCCTAAGGGATCTGTGGGACATCATCAAGCTGAATAATACATGCATTATGGAAATCCCAGAAGGAGGAGAGAGTGATAAAGGGACAGGAAGAATTTTTGAAGAAATAATAGCTAAAAACTTCCCAAATATGACAAAGGACAGAAACTTATACATCCAAGAAACTCAATGAATGCCAAGTAAGATAAATCCAAAAAGAACAATACTGAGGCACATAATAATCAAACCAAGGATAAAGAGAAAATTTTGAGAGCAGCACAACAAAAGTGAAGTATTACATACAAAGGGTCCTCAACAAGATTAAGTACCAGTATCTCTTCAGAAACTATGCAGGTAAGAAGGCAATGGGATGACATATTTAAAGTGTTGAAAGAAAAGAACTTGCAGCCAATACTATACCTAACAAATCTGTCATTCAAAAAATGAGGGAGAAATTAAGGCATTCACAGATAAACAAAAACTGAGGGAATTTGTTACCAGCAGGCCAGCCCTACAAAAAATATTAAAGGAAGTCCTCCAGAAGGAAAGGTAAGGACACGAGATAGCAACTTAAAGTTGTACACACAGGGATAAAAAATATTTTTCATTCAAGGAAATTTCTTAATAAGCATAAAGATCAGATTTAAGGTACTTTTGGTTGGCAAATACAAATGATCTATCCCTCATGCTTTACAATGACAAAAGCATAGAAAAAAACTTGAAAATAAAAACTGCATATATGTGTGTGTGTGTGTGTGTCAAAAGAAAAAACAACAAAAAACCCATTGCTGTCAAGTCAATTCCAACTCATATGTATATATATATAATAAATTTAATCCTAAATTATAGGGTAGACAAGGTATAAAGATGTAATTGGTGATAACAATAATATAAACAGGGGTCAGGAGAATTAGCATACATAATAGAGTTTTTGTATGTTACTGAAGTTAAGTTTAGTATCAATATAAATCAGGATGTTAGAAAAATAAGATGTTAAATGTAATTAATCCTCATGGTAACCACAAAGATTAAAAAAAAAACCCGTTGCTGTCGAGTCAATTCCAACTCATAGTGACCCTACAGAACAGAAGAGAACTGCCCCATAGGGTTTCCAAGGAGTACCTGGTGGATTCGAACTGCTGACATTTTGGTTAGCAGCCATAGCTCTTAACCACTATGCCACCAGGGTTTAAAACCACAAAGATAGTATAAAGAAAAAATTATATACAAAAATAAAGAAGGGAAACAAATCGTTTAGCACAACAATAAGGAGAGAGAGAGAAAATCTATACAGAAAAGATATCAGCACTGGAGAAAAAGAGGGACAAGGGAGATATAAGACAAACAACAAGTAACAAAATGGCAGAAGTCCTCCTTTATTGGTAATTACCATGAACAAAGATGATTAAATGTTCCAATCAACAGGCAGAGAGTGGCAGAATGAATTTTTAAAAAATATGACTCATCTATATGCTGTCTACATGACTATGTGTCTACCTTAGTCATATACATAAGTAGGTTAAAAGTGAAAGGATGGAAAAAAAAACATTTCACACAATAGTAATAAAAAGAGAGTAGGTGTGGCAATTTTAATATCAGACAAAATACTTTAAGTCAAAATATAAGAGACAAAGAAGTACATTTGATAATGATATAAGGGTAAATTCATTAAGAAGATAAAACAATAATAAATATTTATGTACCTAACTTAAGAGCACCAAAATTTATAAAGCAAACTGACAGAACTGAATGGAGAAAT